CACCCAGGCCCAGAGTTCAGGCTCACTACTGGACCCCCCCACAAAAAAAAAGAAATGTAATCATTATCTTGCCCATGTAATTGTAACCCCTCTATATGGTTAAATTTCACAATTAAAAAAAAAAAAAAAAGAATCTCATGGACTTTCCTGCCCCGGCTGGCTTTGAAACACAAGCCTCACGAGCCTTAGATTTCAGGCTCCTGAGTTGCTGGGATTACAGGCATGAGCCACCAGCACCAGGCTCTAATGCATTTTCTTCCACATTTGAGTCAGAATGTGCAAAAGTTAGCTACCAGTGCTGCTGTAGAAGGCCAGTCTGGAAGTCGTGTGAAATTTCTGAATCAGAAACTGGGACAAGGAGATCTTCTCATCTGTTTTCAGGGATTCATCACCGTTCTTCCAATACAGCATTAAGTCTTCATCTGTATATGCATCTTTAAGGGGAAGCAAATAAAGTGAATTTAACTCCTCTGCCTCTTAACCAAGTGAAGCAACAAAGAAATCCTATGCCAGAGTAAAGTGGCGTTAAGACTGCTGTCACTATTAAGACTCAGGGTTTCCAAGATGGCACAACATTGGACAAGAAATAAGGGAATGAAAGGAACAAAAGTCACTGCTACTTACAGCTCTCCAGCTCCAAAGAGCAGGTCTGGGAGTCCAAAGGAAAGTGGCTGAAGTCCATGTTGCACATGGCTGTGACTGTAATCCTACACAACCAAAATGCATGTGTTGGCTTGGCACTGAGTTACTAGCTCGTGCGTCTGCCCAGAGCAAGGGCTGCATGCAGCACATAGCCCGGAGCAGCTGCCTCCTCCAGCCTACTTCTGACATTGGAAACACATGTGAGCAAGTTGCCAGTCCTCATCTGCTAGACCTTTGCCTGCTGTGTGGTCTTAATGCTTCACTGTGTTCCCTCTACTGGGCTGCTGTCCCCCTTCCCGAGCTTCTGTGAACACCTAACCTCTTGTACCTGCTACCATGCTTCAACCCAAAGCTAGGAAGTGCCTAGTATTACCACTTAATTCTGCTGGACTATACAAGTGGGCCAGGAAGATGTACAATGAAACTGTTAAAATACTGAAGTTACTGTAGAAGCCAATCTGAAGTAATGACTAGTGTGTGTGTGTGAGTGTGTGTGTGTGTGTGTGTGTGTGTACACGTGTCACGTTAGTACTGGGGCATGAACACAGGGCCTCATGCTCTCACTTGGCTTTTTCGCTCAAGGCCAGCACTCTACCATTTGAGTCACACCTCCATTTCCAACTTTTGGGTGGTTAATTGGAGATCAGAGTATCATGGCCTTCCTTGCCCAGGCTGGCATTGAACCATGATCCTCAGATCTCAGCCTCCCGAGTCACTAGCATTATAGGTGGGAGCCACTGGCATCTAGCTGTTACTATATTTTAAATCTTTATTGCCAGTCAACTAGAATCATAGTCGCTCAGGATATAAAATACATAAGTCATGGCCACCATCTACTCATTGAGGTTGAAGTAGCCTTCATCCCAGTGATGAGGAGGAAGTCACCACCTGTCAGCATACCTGTTTCATCTTTAGCCAATTCTGACTGCTATCAAAAGGCCGTCCCACAGACCCATCCATTGTGCTGAACACTTCAGGACCAAAGGGACAAACCTTCCATATTGGAATGGCGTTGGACCAGGGAACCACAGCCCTCTGGACAGTTACCTCATGCTGTACAGCACGTGGCCATCTGGGAATACCCTTAGCATGATGTTGTCAGTGGTGGTGTCATGAGTGAATGACCTTTTGGAGTGAACAAAAAAGACATCAGGGACCCAGATCTTCTTCACCAGCCGGCCATCGAATGTCATGCTCTTGTTGCTGGTGCTAGGGAAGGCCAGCCTCTCGTCCTTCCAGTAATGCCGCAGGTACAGCGTCATGGTGAAGTCCTGTGAGAGCGCAGGGAGAGACCGGACTGAGAGACCTCCCTTCCTCGATGAACCCACCATCCTCCACTGCACCAGACACCCAGGTCTAGCCTCTAGAGTAGGAGGAGATAGCTTCATAGCCCTGGGCACACGGCCTATGTGACAGCCCTGCTGCCATCAAAGAGTGGCTTTAGCTTTGAACATCATGAAGTCAGGGCCAGAAACTGAGCTTTGTAAATGGAAACTCCAGCTGTCCGGCCAGCAGTCTGGCCTGCTGGGCAGCAGGACAAGATTTTCTCGCAGCCCTGCTCTTTCTTACTAGAACCTGCATCCACATGGCTCCTTCCCCACCCATCTAATCATTCCATTGCAGTAAGAGAGCTGAAAAGTCAACTGCCCTTCTGAATCACGTTTCTACTGTCAGATTTGTAAGGTCCCTGAAGGCAGAGCTGAGCCATGCCCACACTGAATTTCCCATTCACCATTACATGTAATGCCTGGCAAGGTAGATGAGATGGTAGGAGCTTCATAAATGTTCACTAGATGAGGGCTGAGGACATAGTTCAGTGGTAGACCACTCAAGGTCCTAGGTTGGATCCCCAGCATATTAAAGCAGTATTTTTTTTCTTTTTCTTTTTTGTCAGTTGTGCGATTTGAACTCTGGGCCTGGGCGCTCTCTCTCAGCTTTTCAGCTCAAGGTTAGTGCTCTATTACTTTGGGCCACAGTGCCATTTCTGGTTTTCCTGGAGCTATGAGTCTCACTGACTTTCTTCCCTGGGCTGGCTTTGAACGCAATTCTCAGATCTCAGTCTCCTGAATAGCTAGGATTACCGGCATGAGGCACCAGTGCCTGGCTTAAAGCACTATTTTCTAAGTGGAAAAAAATGGAGAGATGAACAGCTAAGAGCATAGACAGCACAATGCCGACGATGAGCTCCACCTAGAAGCTTATCGCATTAGACTCCATGCCTATATATCTAATACCTAAAATCAAGAATTTGGTCCTGATGCCATAGCTAGAACTAAGACACAAGGTTCAAAGGGCTAACTAGCTACCTAGAAGACCTCCTTGGAGAGCAGGTGGAAGAAGGATAGAGAATTAGCTTCTGGTGGACCGAAATGAAGGCTCAGGAAGAACCAGCACTGAAGCTGTGCTGCACAAGGATGCTGGTCGTTAGACTGATCCTGGCCCTTGGTGCATTCATCGACCACATCTGCACCCTTCACACTGGACAGCATCCTTATCAGATGTTGGCACCTTTGTATCTTATCAGCTGTGACGGGCTGAGTCAGTTAAGAGCTAGGGAAAGGCAGGGGTGTAGCTGAATGGCAGAGAACCTGGTTTAGGGAGCTCAAGGTCTAGGGAACTCAAGGCCCTGGGTTTGACCTTCAGCTCTAAAAAAAAAAAAAAAAACAAGAAAAAAAAGCAAGAAGCTTCCTGCACACTCTGGATGCCCCCTTTTGTGTTTATTCATTCCACATAGTTTGAGGCCCCCCACAGCCCAGGGCGGGGGTGCATACCATGTCCACCTCAGAGATGCTGTCCAGACTCTCCACCTGTACGTCCACGCCCACCGGGATGGCAGGGCCTGTAGGAGAGCAGAGACAGCTGGTTAAGGCCTGTTCCTTCCTGCCAACACCTCCCCCAGGGCAGTCAGGGCTGCAGTGAGGTAGAGGATTCAAATTGTGGGAGATGCAGGGCTGGGGGGAGGAGGGAAGGGGTTTCCACTAGTCTCTGATATGTGGGGTGCCTGAGTTTTTCTTTATCACTGAAGTCAGACTATGCCCGCTCTATACATTGTTCTGGGGTCAAGGTGGATGTTTGTTTGTTTGTTTGCTGGTACCAAGTTTTGAACTCAAGGCCCATATTTGACTAATTTGCTTGCCCGATTGAGCCATGCCTCCAGCCCTACTTTTTGCCAGTTAATTTGCAGAGGGAATCTTGAGGACATTTTCCCCTCTGATTGGTCTTGAGCCTTCATTCTCCAGGTCTCAGACTCCTGAGTAACTAGGAATAGAGATTTGAGCCCCTGGTGCCTGGCTGATTTTATCTGTGTGTG